AAAGAAAACATGAACGAAAAAAATGGTTTGAGAGAGAGAGAGAGAGAGAGGGGGAAGAGAGAGGGGGGAAGAGAGGGGGGAAGAGAGGGGGAGAGAAAGAGAGGGGGAGAGAGGGGAAGAGAGAGAGAGAGAGAGAGAGAGAGAGTGTGTGTTTGTCAGTGAAGAAGAAAAGATTTCTATTTAGGGAAGACAAAAGATTCCTTCACTGAGATCGTTACGTTTCGATAAAGCTACAAACATATTTAGAATATTTGAGTAATTTTAAGGCTATGTTGCAAAATTTATCAGTGTAAATTAAATCAAGCCGAAATCAAATAAATATATTGATTAAAAACCACAAGGTAATGTATATAATGTTCATTAACTAAAGTTCACAATTGAAAAGCAAAATAGAAAAATTGATCTTCCTCAAATATATATCAATATTATATACAACGTCTGATTTATTCCCCAAATATTGAACAATGTACCTCATTAGGTACGAAACCGTAGGCATCTGCACTGGACATTGTGGGGACATCTTTAGTTTCGAACTCAAACTATGATCTTCGTATGTTGATCTGGAAACAATAATGGTTCATAAATTTATAGTAACGAGGTTATTATGCGTTGGTATGTCAACACTAAAAATAGACATTGGTTCAGAAAATCTAACGATGGAGAGAATGGTGAAATATAATATTATTTGATTCTAGTATTCTTCAAATTTTGAATAGAAAATAACTACTTCATTTTAATCTAGTTATTCTTAAAGCAATAATAAAATGAGATAAAGCATTAATCTGACAAAGATCTTCATTTATTCTATTTGTAATATTTGTATCAATGGTAACTCTTTTGATAATAGATTTGTGAGTTAAATTCAAGAATTTGAATTTATCAGTTAATACTAACCTAAGTGTTTTAGCTTTTGAAAAATGTTTAATTGATACATAGTGCTCTCAAAATTTATATATAATTCCACAGTGACTTTAACCAAAACATAAGAGAATGTTTGCATTATTCAAAGCGTATGTTATTATCTCCATCTATAAAAGGCAGGATGTGTGTGTGTGTGTGTGTGTGTGTGTGCGTGTGTGTGTGTGTGTGCAACGAATGCACGGCCGCAATTTTCGACGGATTTGCACCAAAATTTACATGCACATGCTCCAAGTTAGCGGGAAGCCCAAGACTGACTTTGCATTTCCCAACTTCCATCAATAGTGGAAATAATCGATTTCTTCATGCTTCTACGGCAGTTTTCATGTAGTTTGCGGCCATTTTCTACTGCCCAGAGTGAGAGCCAATAGCTGGCTACCACGAATAATCAGGAAGATTCTATTGGCCAGCGTGAGAGCCAACAGCTGACTGACACGAATGTTAACTAGCATGCAAAAAATATCGATAGCTGCATTCGTCATGAGTGGGAAAAATTTAAATCTGCATGGCACTTTACTCCAATTGGCTCATTCGCTTGCTTAAACTCAATGTTGATTCTGATTCCGCAGAACTGGGTTGGGTGTGAAAAAGTATTTGTTGTTAACATTCTTTTTTCATTCGATTTTTCTAGTTACGAGTCCTTTTTTAAAGCTGATCGTTTTGTGTTCATTTTGTTTAGTTCTTTTTTCGTAACAGAATTAATGTTTAGTCTATACTAAACATTAATTCTGTTACGAAAAAAGAACTAAACAAAATGAACACAAATTTTTTCTAAGCTCTATAGCTTAGAAAAAATTTGCAGTGTGAGATAGGCAAGAAGTAAGGCATGTAGCAAATTCAGCACGGAAAAAGGCACTCCTTTAAAGGCAAGGAAGGGATAAAATATTTTAAGTCAAGTGATAGCGATTGCTGTATGAGTCGTACGATTTTTGAATCAAGCACGGGCAACGCCGGGCCAGGATGCTAGTTCATTATTAAAACTTTCACTCAGAAAACAAGAGATGCAAGATAGTAAGAGATGAGGTGTATGTGCATTTTGGGGAACATCAATGGTTTTAGATCAATGAATAAATTAAAAAAATATTGTTTCTGCCATTAATAAGAAAATGTATTTCTGTTTCAATAGTTTAAAAAAAATCATTTCACTCCCAAGCAAGGCGATAAATCCACTAAAACACAAAGACGTACTATGATATAAAAAATGAAACAAAAAAAAACGTTATGGGGGAGAGAGGACAATAAAAGATCAGGATTCAAGAAGACGATTAAATTTTTGATGATCATAACTGACAGTAAAGCAAGAAATCGCAAGAGAGTTCCACAAGCGAGAAGTACGTAAGAAAACAAAAACAACTATTATAGAATTTACAGATAGATCTCGCAATTTCAACAGTAAAATGATGAGACCTACCTGCCAATCAAGTACAGCGCATAAATTCGTGAAGACAACGTACCCAAGAGGAAAGCTCATCAAAAGAGTTACTATGAAAATATTTATAGAAAAGGCATAGCTATGTTACGGTGGTGGGAAAGTGATTGAAACCAAGATGTCAGATCTAGATCGATAACATCGCAAATTAGATTTTGTCAAGAATCTCTAGATATTTAGCAGAAGCACAAGATGTGGCAGCATTATTCAATGCCCGAATAAATGATAAACTTATAAAAGTGCAAGACTGGAGAGAAAAGAACAATACAGTGAACTTTCTTATCAGCAGACCTAGCCGAGCAATCATTTCATTTCACGTCAGTGTTAATAGCCAGACTGAGAAGACACAATGAGTTACCCTCCTAGAGATTAGCATCAGCCATTGCTTATTGTTGGAAAAAAAAAAAGGTTTGTTTAGGGAGGCGTTAAAATTAACGTGCCATTTCTTGTCCCAATTATATTATTGGGGCAAGAAATGGCACCCTAATCAAACAAAAATATTATTCTTATAATCTAAAATATTTTTCGGTTTTGTATAACCCACAAAGGTTTGATAACCCGTAACAAACAAATCAATCAATTTAGTACTTTACCAAAAAGAGGTGGAAGAATAATAGGTTCATAGTTCATAGGATCAGACAAATAATCAGTGTTCTTAAAAACAGAAACTACAGAAGAGGATTTAATAATAAAACTTGAGTTTAAACTTTAAAAAAATTCGTTTAAAAAGTGTTTCACTGAATGCATTCGTCTAAATGTTACAAGAAAATCGTGACATTTAGGTTCAGCAGTGGCTACCCACCTTTGTTAAATTCTAAATATTTCTTTGTCTTTCCTAACATCTAGTAATGGTATTCAAGATATTGGCAACGGTTCGTGCGGACCGTTTAAAAAATAGCAAGAACCGGATCTTAAATTCTTTTAGACCTTTATATTCATCGGAAGAAAATAAGGATATAAAAAAGAAGAGTGAATTGGTTCCTAAAAATTTGAATCCCACTACTAGTATGATCGTAATAATAATTTTCAATCTCTGTCTCTCTTTCTTTGTTTCTCTCTCTCTCTGTCTCTGTCTGTCTGTCTTTCTTTCTCTCTTTCTCTCTCTTTCTCTCTCTTTCTCTCTCTCTATCTATCTATATATATATATATATATATGTATGTATGTATACATACATATATATATTGGCATATATATGTATACATACATATATATATTGGCAATATATAAGGATTGAAAAATACAGTTTCTTTGTGATCAGTGCTTTATGCCGTTATCTATATGTGAGTGAGATAGATAGATAGATAGATAGATAGATAGATAGATAGATAGAGAGAGAGGGGAGAGAAAGAGATAAAAAGGAAGAAAGGAAGGGTAAGAAAAGAGCCTGTTAGGGTTTTTCTTTTTTTCTAGTCTCTTTTTAAAGAATCTCTTGAACTGAAATTAATCGCCATGTTTGAATCCCACTACTAGTATGATCGTAATAATAATTTTCAATCTCTGTCTCTCTTTCTTTGTTTCTCTCTCTCTGTCTCTGTCTGTCTTTCTTTCTCTCTCTCTCTCTCTCTCTCTCTATATATATATATATATATATATATATATATGGACACATACATATATATATTGGCATATATATGTATACATACATATATATATTGGCAATATATAAGGATTGAAAAATACAGTTTCTTTCTGATCAGTGATTTGTGCCGTTATCTATATGTGAGTGAGATAGATAAATAGATAGATAGATAGATAGATAGATAGAGAGAGAGAGAGAGAGAGAGAGAGAGAGAGAGAAAGGAAGAAAGGAAGGGTAAGAAAAGAGCCTGTTAGGGTTTTTTCTTTTCTAATCTCTTTTTAAAGAATCTCTTGAACTGAAATTAATCGCCATGTTTGACAGAAAACTATAAACTGATTCACCTCTCATCTCTCATGCATTTTATATCCCGCAGCCTCAATATCTATGATAGTCGTGTTTCATATTATCGAGCATTTTCGATAGACTAGTCATTTGATAGTTGAGCCATGCAACCATATTTTTAATTAAATCATTCCGATGGTTCACTGTGATTACTGGTCAGTCTATTCATGCGTTTCCAAAAGTTTTAGTCGACTAAATTTTTAGATTTCTTGAACTGAGATAGATATCTGCCACGAAATTTTCCAGTCAATGATAATATCTATATCTATATATATATATATATATATATATATATATATATATATCAGAAAAATGTTAGCGACGATTTAATTAGTCAAAGATGACCATCAGTTCTTATTGTAACATAATATAATGACATAATAGGTTATGATACATAATCTATGATGTACATGATATAATATCGTCAAATTTTCTTTCTACTTAACCATCATTTTGCATTTAAATTATACCCCACGATATCATTATCATTACCCTTATTGTTTGTTTTTTTTTTCTGAACGATAAAGACTGAATCTAACATCCGATAAATTGGATAGGATAGGTTAAAAGTAAAAGGTCATAAGTTTAAAGCGTATTCTGCTTGTTTCCATAGGTAAGGAGTGTATATTTAACTGTGACATTGTGTCTGACCTTTGCATTCGTGTTCATCCCTCATTGTTTGTTGACTTTCTATCAAATTTGTCGATTTTCTCTTAAGATTTTGCACCATTATGTGCGTTGCGATCATTTATATTAAAACAGTAAACTTTTCTGTACTTTTCTGTTCATCTATCTTTCTCTCCTATTTTTGCCGCTTTCTATATTTCTTTCTTTCACATTTTGTGCTTTTTCTTTCATTTTCTCTAGCCTCTTTCCCTTCTAGTTTATTTCGAGAGGTACATTTTCTCTTCTTTTCATTTCTTTTTATATTTTATGTTTAATTTATTTGTTTTATTTATGTTTAATTTGTTTCTTTGTTCTATCTACATTCTTTTCCCTTTCTTTTCTTTTTATATTTTTTTCTCTCACACCTTATCGCCTTTATTTTTTCTGTTTCCATGAGATTATAATCTTTCTAATATTCTCATTTTCTTTCTATCTTTCTTTCTTTCTTTTCTTTGCTTATTTTTCTCCTTATGTCTTCCTCTTTTCTTCTTTCTTCATTTGCTTCCTTGTTATCCGTCATATAATTCACTCATTCTTGTCTTCATTACTTTTTGTTTGTTTTTTGTTAATATGTCTAGGCCAATAAATCTACAGATTATATCTCCTTTTTTTTCCTTTTTCCTTCTCGCTTTCATGTTTCTTTTTTTTAATTTATCTTATCCTTTCTTCACTTTTTTTTTTTTTTAGAATATCTTTCATTCATTCATTATTTCTTTATTCCATTCATTATTTCTTTCTTTCATTTATTATTTCCCTCTTGTTTGCTTTGCCAGTTTTTATAAGCAAAGCGACATTTGGCTGCATTTCGTGATATTATCACGCCTGACATCTTGAACTCACACAAACCTTGTCAGGAAACGGAAATGTGGCTTTCTGTGTTGCAAAAATATGCATTAATGTTGTCCAATATGTTTCGTGTAAGGTGTAACATCATTAACTTTGCTATCCTTGTTAGGTCTTTTAAGATATCGAAGAGATTTCTACATTTTTTTTAAGCATTACGCCCCGAGCATGGCGTAAAGCCACTAGGATGCAGAAGATTTGGAGCGAGAGCAGATAGGAGTGATAGAAGAAAGGATGAGGAGAGGGATAGTGGATAGATCAAGGCAACTGGAGATGTCTATTGACATTACATTTGAATAGTTGGAGATTATAGCTCTCAGGGAAACACTAATAGGGAAGGGTGTTCCACGGGCGAGAGGTGCGAGGTATGAAGCTATTGGAGTAGAAGAGACGGCTACATTTAACAGTTTCAACAGTGAAAGTGTGAGAGTGGGATGCCAGCCTTGTAGGATGCTTGAATTCATGAAGTCTTGGGACCAGTGAAATCAGCTCATCGGAGCAATTACCATGAAAGTATTTGTAAAAAAGACAGAGAGAGGCGACGGTGCGTCTGTGAGAGAGCATCTGTAGACGAGATGCCAGATCAGGGCCAATTATATTACATATCCGCCTCTGGTTCTTGTCAAGAACTCCGATGTAAACAGAAGGTGCACCAGACCATATATGACAGCAATACTCCATGCAAGGGCGAATGGTTGATTTGTATATTTGAAGTATCGATTCCGGGGAGAAAAATTTCCTGGCGCGGCACTGATTGAACTTGTTTTTTTCAATTTATAACACTTGTATATCAGTGAATGTCTGTTATAAAGTATTGGTGGTTCTTGTTCACGTGTCCTTCAAAAAGGAGATCGATTTTTAAAATGACTCTGAAGTATTTCTATAAATTTAAAAATAATCTATTTACTATTTTCTATCGCTATTCTACTTTAGGAAGTGTTGAAACTTGACTAATACATGGAATAATAATGCAACACAAAATATACTTAGAACAAAATGTATTGAAACAAGAAAGTGTACACAATATTTACATATAGTCTTTTGTATATTCCTGGTAAGACCGTTCCTGGAGAATGTGTTGACTGAGTGTTGAAACTTGAATAAAGCATGGAATAATAATAATACAACACAAAATGTACTTAAACAAAATGTACTTAAACAAAATGTATTGAAACAAGAAAGGGTACACAATATTTACAGATACTTTTGGTATATTCTTGGGAAGACCGTTCCTGTAGAATGGGTTGACTTAGTCGCAGTCGGACAGAGTCTCTGGATTGGATCTCTTCTTCCTCCCCCGTCTTCCCGGTACCAACCATATTTATATGGTCGGTACTCCACTATGTAAATTAGGTGGATCGTACCACAACACTGAGTCGCAGTCGGGCAGAGTCTCTGGTTGAATCTCTTGATTCCTGTATTTATCTATCCACCTACGAGGATAAAATGTGGCACAAGGCCGGTTTAAAGTGGGTATCTCCGAGCCCGTAGGCTCGGCCAAAAATATGGCCTTTCTGAACCCGCCTAGACGGGTTCAAGGCCTGTCTACCACCCCGGACGAAACCCTGCCTCTCGGCAAAGCCTCGTACGGGTCCCTCACTGCAAAATGCAGAGAGTTCGACTGAGAGTGAATCTCTTGACTCCTTCCTCTCTTCCCGGTACCAACCATATTTATATGGTCGGTACTCCACTATGCAAATTAGGTGGATCCTACCACAACAGGGAGCTCTAGTGAGATTTAGAGTGCTGTCTTTGGTCGTATTTCCGCGGAATAAACAAACAGACAGTGACTCACTGCGTTATTTTGTCTGCTGGTATTTTATGCGTAAGGTATTTGAGAGCATACATTTCGTCGGTCATAAATGGAAGACGAACTAATGTAATGTTATGCGGATCATGCGCTAAAATATAATGCTTTCATTTCTCTCTCAGACATATCTAAAGAATTAATATATTAGCTTTCAATCTAGAAAGGAAAACCTTGTTTTTATCCTTAAACGCCAACCTCAGTGACCCGAAGATAGCGAAGAGGCCACATAAACAAGAAAAACGAAAAATGGCACTGCTTGGACCTCATGGCGTATGCACACTAATTTTTCTGTATAGTCCAGAGGATCGTGAGCAGCAATGACCATATCATACCACTCACTTTTACCAAATAAAAACTCAGTGTCAATGATACCGCCTACACCTGGATTAAGGTCATGACTCAGTTGCCCGTACGTGTTCTAGCAAGGCTCTGATCTCACTATGCCTCACTATTATGTCCACGTCAATGTGTAGCCTCCACGATCATAGGATTTGAATCCCCTAGGCTAATCCCTCAATACAATTAATAATATATAATGGATATTAATAACTTACTTTCCTGCAATTATAGACGCAGCAACTATGTTAAGAAAACCCATGGTAAGGACAAATTCTAATTTGCTTTTTTGTATATTTATTTCCATCATCCTATTCGCGTCTAAATAAAAAATGTCGATACTTTTTCTTCGTTCGATATTTGCAGGAAACAAGAAATCCACGACACATCTTTTCATTTAAGGTCACTGACGAGAACGTGAGAAATTTCGACGTATATCACCATCTTCATTGCAACCTTTGCATTTTTCCCCTGACATCATCATCCTTGTATCTGACCCTGAAAATTAATTTCACATATTACACTGACTATGATAAATAGCAATGTAAAAGGTGCCAAAATTATTTCTGTTAAATAGAACACATGACATGTAATTAAGATAATTTTTCGATTACTTTCGTCAGTGTCTAATATATTTCTCTACTTTAATTTCTCAATTTTAAAAATTTATAAAATAAATAAAGTTAATTTAATATGTACAATTGTTACTGAGCAGCCATGTTTTATTTATTCTGTTATTGCAAATACTATTTGATTTTCTTGTAGCGACGATAAAATCTTGCAAAACTATTTCAAAATATTTCACTCTGGAACTTATCAACAAAATATTATTATTTTGTTTTGTTTTTATTTTGTTTGGTTTTGTTTGTTCACATATCACAATGGAATAAACATAAATGAAAAGCGATATAATTCTATTAAAAATGCACAATTCTTAGTCAAGCGATGTATTCTATGGCTTTTATGGCTCATATCAAATGGCTTATTTCATCCCAAAAATTCACCGTCACTTACGTTACCTTAATCATCAAATAATCAAAGATTTTTCCATTTCGCCATTTTTAAAGGTTAAATTTAACTTGATTATTATTTCTAATCTGTTTGGAAAAATATTTGAAACTGATTTTTAGCGTCAAAAAGGCGAACTGACAATAAATCTTCTGATTCGTTTAATACAAATAATATTAGAAAAAAAATCATCATAATCACTCACTTTCCCTTCACACTCCTTCACTTTTTCTCATCAGCGAATCACACAAATTTTTCTTACTCAAACGAATCAGTTTCCAAAAAGATCAACCAGAGTGATTAGGTCAGTTTAAGAAGTAAAAAAAAATCAATAAAGTATATTGATCGCATAAAGCAATATCAAAGCTGTCCTTTACACTGGCTTTAAAAAGAAACTTTCTGTACGGGCAAAAAAAAAAAAAAAAAATGAATAAAGGTGATCGTTTAGAATAAAAAAAATCACGACACGACACTTCACTGTTTAACCTTTTAGCATGAACGCAATCACTTAAGTATTTGAGCGTAACATTTCACATGTATATAAACGCAAAATGGATCCGTTATTTAAAAGATGTAAAAAGAAAATATTAGAATTTTTTTTTCATAAGCGGATTCAGGTTTTAATATTTTTTTGTTATTTGAAGAAAATCTTGATAATATTTCTTGTAACATTTTAACTATTTTCTTTCATTAAAGAAATAAATTAAATAATAAGTTTTCTACGACTAAATTTTAATTCTAAATAAGTTTTGTACTAATAAATGGAACATGATATTAATATCTATAGATAAGGATGTACACTTATGTTTCATAGATTATGGAATAAACATTTGATAAGTTACATTCCAAGGATATGTAATAAATTGCTAAAAAAAAATAGATCTATTTGGGAAGGATGTTAGAATAATCCAGAAATTATACTCTGAGTAAACCACCTGAATACATATACAAAAGGAATTGACTCAGTACTCAATAATGGAATGGCGCATAATACATGGATATGTCTTCTTATCCGATTTATTCAAGCTTTACAGCGAGGCTGTCCTAAAGGTGCACGAGATCCTATCAGATACAGTTTTAACAAAACATAAGTAAATGACAGTGCGTTGATGACAGAAACAGAAAGAAACAAAAGAAAAAGCCCAAGAGGCAAAATACGAATTGGAAATTTTGAAATCAACCAAGTACAGAAGTTTAAATATATGTAACCCCAAAATTTGAAGGGGAATTGGAATAGCAAGAGTCATGATCGCTTACGACCTGAAGGGAGACAGCAAGAAGAAGAAGAAGGAAAAGGAGGAGGAGGAGGAGGAGGAGGAAGAAGAAGAAGAAGAAGAAGAAGAAGAAGAAGAAGAAGAGCAACAACAACAACAACAATAATAATAATAATAATAATAAGTGGTAATGTTCAAATCAAATGATGTATTTTGGAGTCACCTTATTCACATATCTATGTTTATGAGAGGATGTGATTGATTCTTAGATATTTATCTTTTAAAATTCACACACACAAACATATATATATATATATATATATATATATATATATATATATATATATATAAGCCTACATTATCTTCTAATAAAGGCATAGTAGTAGCAATTAAACATTAATAATCAAATGAACAATAATGGAATTTAGGATCCTAGTTCGTTTGTTGGCACCTTTAATATTATAAAAGTAATATATGAGAAAAATTGTAAAAACTGGAAGTATTATTGCACTAAAGTATTTTCACTCATAACATTGTAAAGCGGAGATATTTCAATTATTAGATGAATCTGCTCTTTTTTTATTTATTTATTTAAATATTAAACGAAATGAACCTTTTAAAAA